AAGAGAATGGAAAACCTGTGTGTACACTAAAGGCATACAAGCCTATAGTCCTAGAAGGCCAGGTCTCAAGAGCACCCAAAATTGGGTCTCAAAACACTTGCAGAAGATCTGGTGGGTCATAACTACACCTAGGAGGATACTCAGCTCACCAACTGGTTGGAAAAGAAGGTCATAGTTGTGGCAAGAAAAAACACTTCATTGCACAATGCCTATTCTAGGTGACAGAGTTAAAGCTGAGCATTGGAAAAGGGAAAGCTGTCTCACGGAGTTAATGCGTGAGAACTCCAGGTTAGTCAGGCAATGGCTACAGAATAAGACGACACTGAATCGGAGGCATCTGAACACAGTCTTCATGAGTGGAGAACAACTCAGCCTGTTAGAAATGCAGTGCTCTGTACACAGGACAGGAATAGAGAAAGCTCTGAAAGTAAACCAGAAGCATTTTCTGGAATATGCGTGTGTAAACGAATATAGTAAAAGTGATGCTGTAAAAAAGAAGAACAAATTAATTGGAATTATAACAGAGAAGAGTAAAATGATGTTAAAGCATTCAGAGATTTGTGGGAAATAGAGTTCCACTGGCACACACAGAAAAAAGAAAAGGCAGTCCTCTATTGGAGGAACTCTGATGGCATACTGACAAAGGAGAAATTGCAGAAAAATATTTATAAAGCTGAGGTAATAGATGTTATTAAAGAAAAACCTTCCTGAAGTTAAAGTAAGTGTGTATCTAAACAAGTCTAACATTTCTCTGTTGCTATTGCATTTTGCGTGTACATCTGTCCAATAAATTTCATATGTACGCAGCCTATCTATTCAGATATCACAAAAACGCCGTTTTAGCTGATTTTAAAAATAACTAGGAGCATGCTAGGTGTGATATCCTACCTCTATTCTTGGAACTGGTGAAATTCACTGAGTTATTAAAATACTGTTTTTTTGCAACTACAACACAGTACGCAACATGCCAATATGTTCCCTGCTACTGTCTGATGCATGAGAGAACAAAACCAAGGAAATCCCACAGCAGAAGTGCCAGACAGAGAGGAAAAGAGGCTATGTGGGTAGACACCACCAATAATCTGTGGGTGAGATTTTTACCCATGCGCCACCTCTTTTACTCTGGGTAAAAGGGCCAGAGCAGTATAAGGGGAGGAGGCCAAAAGTCCCACGTCTGGCTGGGGGAAGATTCACCTGGCACAGGCAGCGTGGGAGACAGCGATGAGTCTGCCTTCTGAAGAACCCCTTGCAAACCTTGGCATGGAGGAAGTGGTGGAGAGGTTTGGGGTTGGCAGGGGTGTATCAAGGTGGGTCTACATTTTGGGCAGTAAGGGTGAAGTAACATAAACAGGCCTCCAGACTTGTCTACATTATGTGGATGGATGCAGAACAGTCCAGAATCAGGAGAGTACTAAAGTGGCTTAGCTCACACTCCCCCTAGGCTGCAAGTTGTGTACTACACCTCTTAGAGGCAAAACACAAAATCTCATCCTATCTATCTACCTGTAACCCAGGGGTGAGCAAATTTTTTGCCCTGAGGGCCACACTGGGGTTGCAAAACTGTATGGAGGGCCAGGTAGGGAAGGCTGGGCCCCCCATACAGCCCCCTCCCACTTCCCGCCAGGGCTGGCTCCAGGGTTTTGGCCACCCCAAGCAGCCAAAAAAAAAAAAAAGCCGCGATCGCGATCTGCGGCGGCAATTCGGCAGAAGGTCCTTCGCTACGAGTGGGAGTGAGAGACCATCCGCCGAATTGCCACCGAATAGCTGGACCTGCTGCCCCTCTCCGGAGTGGCCGCCCCAAGCCTGGAGCTGGCCCTGCTTCCCGCCCCCTCACTGCCCCCCTCAGAACCTCCAACCCATCCAACTCCCCCGCTCCTTGTCCCCTAACCGCCCCCTACTGGGACTCCTACCCCTAGCCACCCCCTGGGACCTAAACCCCTGTCCAGCCCCCCTGCTCCCAGTCACCCGATCCCTATCCACACCCTCCGCCCCCTGACAGGCCTCCGAGGACCCCACGCCTATCCAACTCCCCCATCCCATGACCGCCCCCGCCACCACAGAACCTCTGCCTCATCCAACCGCCCGCTGCTTCCTGTCTGCTGACTGCCCCCCAGGACTCCCTACCCCTTATCCAACCCCCTCCAGCCCCCTTACCATGCTGCTCAGAGCAGCATGTCTGGCAGCTGCGCCACCAGGCCAGAGCGAGATACGCTGCTTGGCAGGAGCTAGCAGCCCCACCGCCCAGCAGGGCCGGCTCCAGGCACCAGCCAACCAAGCATGCGCTTGGGGCGGCCCCTAGTAAGGGGCGGCCAATCTTGGGGCGGTGGGGGGTTCGGCAGTGTGGCGCTCGGCGGGGGGTGTTCGGCGGCGCTCCGCGCGGGGGAGGTTCAGCAGTGCGGCATTCGGTGGGGGGTGTTTCAGTGGGGCGGGGTGGCGCTGGGGGGTGTGTGTATTACGGCGGGGCGGCGCTTTTTTTTGCTGCTTGGGGTGGCAACAAAGTTAGAGCCAGCCCTGCCGCCCAGAGCGCTGCCCGCACGGCAGCGTGGCTGCGGGGAAGGGGCCGGGAGCTCAAGGGCCAGGCAGGATGGTCCTGCAGGCCGGATGTGGCCCATGGGCCGTAGTTTTCCCACCTCTGCTCTAATGTCTCCCAGAAAAACACAGGGCAGGGCTGTGCAGAAAATGGGAGTCAGGAACCAGCTACCTATGTGTCATGTTTTTCTCTCCAAACCACAGAAGTGAAGTCAGAAAGAAACATGGAAGTTAATACTACGTGCTTTCTAAGCTCCATCAGAAAGGCATCCCAGAGTACAGGTGACAGTGCAGTAGTGAGTGGCAGTGCAGCTGGTAAGTAGGGAATATTAATACCGTTATATAAAACATATGAGTCATATATGACTATTGAAAACTTGCTAATCTCTGGTGGGAAAATAAGTGCTAATAGGTAGAGTGTTTATGAGACAAAAAATAAAAGGCCAGATGAAACTGTTTTACAATTACACTCAGCATTTAAATGAAACAAATGACTTTTTATCATTTCCAAAGTTCTAGTTATGACTCACTGCCTTACATAAATTAAGCTTCACACAAAGGCTGGCTGAATGCATCTCTCTCAAGTGTACCTCATTCTAAGGGATGACTCATTTCAGTCCCGAGGTTACCTCTGTTCCATAAAGACTTGGTGTCCCCTCACTTTTATAGCTGAAGATGACTTCTAACAAAAACAGGGTCATCAAATGTAGGAGTCATTTATGCTAAAGCAGTGATACTCAGACTGAGGCTCCTGAGTCGTAAACAACACATAACGTGTCTCCTGTGGCTCTTTGCAGCACATATTAAAACAGTTTGACTTAATTATTAACCAGTCAGGATGCTTTTACTATGTTATTAACCAATTGTAGTTGATAAAATAGTAATACTTGGTCAGTCAATTTGCTGTGAGAATAATATATATCTATATAAAAATGAAATATTTCCCCTGTCATACTGTTTAAATATGAATACATAATACCATAGTAAATGAAACAATGAATTCACACTACTGGGGCGCTTTTGGGTAATGTTGATTGCTAATTTGGCTCCTGAACCACTGAGGTCTGAGTATCACTGCACTAAAGGAATGAGCCTGACAGCATGTAAAGTTTCCTGCATGAATAATTTTTTCTCCCCCTCATTCTGGGTATTTGCCACATACTCTCCCACATTTGGACCATCACAGGCTGAGAGATGACGGAATGATCTAGGAAATGGATAAGAACAGCCATACTGGGTCAGACCAAAGCTCCATATAGCCCAGTATCCTGTCTTCCGACAGTGGCCAATGCCAGGTACCCCAGAGGGAATGAACAGAACAGGTAATCACCAAGTGATCCATCCCCTGTCTCCCATTCCCTGCTTCTGGCAAACAGAGGCTAGGGACACCATCCGTGCCCATCCTGGCTAAAACCACTGATGGACCTATCCTCCATGATCTAGTTCTTTTTTGAACCCTGTTATAGTCTTGGCCTTCACAAAAATCCTCTGGTAAGGCATTCCACAGGTCGACTGTGCATTGTGTGAAGAAATACTTCCTTTTGTTTGTTTTAAACCTGCTGCCTATTACTTTCATTTAGTGACCCCTAGTTCTTGTGTTATGAGAAGGAATAAATAACAGTTCCTTATTTACTTTCTCCACACCAGTCTTGATTTTATAGACTTCTATCATATCCCCCCTTAATTGTCTCTCAATCACATCCATACAAAGTAGTTTCTATTAATTCAGAAAGTAAGGAAGCATTTGCCAAAATTTTCATCCAGCCCTACAATGTACTGATGAATTTTATAAGCCAGTTCTTCACCTGGTTGTAAATTGGCATAGCTCTATTAACTTCAGTAAAACTACATTGATTTGCATTGGCTGAGGATCTGGCCTTGTATGTGTACAATGTTATATAGTTAGCACATAAAATACTATATTAAAATCAGAACAACAACATATGATCCTAATTCATTCCTTCTCAGTATAAGCAAGGTTTAATGTATCCTCATTAAGGACTTACACTAGTTTAACTAGATTGATTTTTAAACTAGTGTACCTTTCTAATATAGACAAGGTCTCAGTCTCAACTATAAACAGGTTAGGGCAAAGACTTCAGAATGAAAAACTGTCTCCATGGCAAATCTCTCATTGACTTCAGTGGGGACAGGACCTCACCATTATCTTAATCTGTAAAGCACCCGGCACTATTTTTTTTTTTTTTTTTTTTGCACTATGGGCTCAATCCGGCAAGTAATTTAATTATAAGCTTAACTTCATTCCTACATAAATTGATGGGACTACTCAATTGCTTAAAGTGTGTTGCCCAATGGGGGCCTCTAATATCAACACATATTCCAAATTACTTATCAGTTCCATCTCAAAACATCTAAGGATAAACTGCTTGGAATAGGACTTTTCCCAATATTTAGCAAGACTGATTAGTTTTCTAAAAGCTGTGTTATTATAAAGAGAAGGGTATTATTACCTGGAGTGTAAGGTAATCAGCTAAAATCTGGATAGGATGGTATGAATCAGACAATCCATTGACTATTGGGATTGAGGCTTCTTTCGCCAACAGGTCCAGATCAGATTGTTTATAAACTCTGGCCAAGACTGCATTTGTCATGCTAGACAGCACCCTACGGTAAAGCAAAAGATATCAAAGTCAAACATCATAAATATATTGCTACTTTATTCTTCAATGTGCAATGTATAAATATTAATAAGTGGTGGTAATGAATAAATTTTTTCCAGTTGCTTGAATAATATACAATATCTGCATAATCCACTAAAATGCAGACATTTAACAAGCTGTAAGAAGTAAAAGAAAATTCTTGCTCCACACACAACCCCATTCAATGATTTTCTATTTCATTTTTGATTGTCACTAAAGCAGAACTAATGATGCAACATTAATAAATGTGCAGGTAACAGAGGTGATTGAAATGATAGGGATTCAACTCAAAAGGTGTAAAGAACAACAGTACCATCCTAATGTGTAACATATATAAATAATTATATTTTGTGACACACACAGTAACACTATTAAAGTGGCATCAAGGTTCTAAATTAAATGACAGGGATAAAGACATTTGGCATTCATTACTGGCACTCAAGCTACAGCTCATGGTTTTGTGCCTTGGAAGTAGAGTTTCAGGGATGAGTCTGCTATGAGAGCACTGCATTTTCTGTCATATGGATATTTTTAGGCGAATCTAGCATGAAATCGGATGCTTAGCGTTGCAATTCTGTGCTTTTGTGGAAGTAATCAGGCCCTCAAGTATTATTCTTTTGAATTCTTTTGTATGTTTTAATGTTCTCTAGTAGCATCTTAAAACCAAATAGGCAAAACTGTGAACAGAAGGGTATGGAACTGTGACACAGAGGCCATTGGTGGTTCATTACTCTGTCAGCAATTCTTGTCAGGCCTGGCACACTCACTCCATTTCCCACAGTTGTCATAATCTGTACCTAAAAAGTGTCATGTAAGGCATCATACACAAATTGGTTTCACACTGGTCCCGAAAATCATCGTGTGGTATATGTACAGAATGCGTACAAACAGTTATAAATATGCACTAGAATTAGATTCTTAAAATGTGTTTGGCAAGCAGTGCATACGCCCAGTCTGCCCTAAAAACAGGAATGTGTATTTGCTTGTCTGCCCAGCCTGGTTGTCTGTCAGAGACAATGAAGCTACATTTACATAAGAGGGAAACAAAGCCATCAACCTAGTGAGCTGGGGAGATAGCCTCTTAACTATCACAACAGGGGCAGGAGACTGCAAAAATGAACATGGTGTCAGCTCCCTGGTGGACACAGCAAGCTGAGTTCCCAGCAAGGCTTCCTGGCTCTTGAAGCAGCGTCAATGAACTTTGGGAGGATATAAAGAGAGAGAAAAAGCCATTCTGGCATCTTTCACCTGACAAAACAAAGGAACTAAGCTCTGTAAAGGGTTGTGGTCACCTATGCTGGAAAAGAGACTTAGTGAGAAACACTTCTTTGAACAAGAGAGTCTAATTAGTTAAATAAGGTTTTAGTCATAGAAGCATATTTTTATTTTTGTTTGTATGTAACCTATCTTTATTCCTTATACTTGGTATCACTTAAACCTATGTCCTTTTCTTAAATAAACTTGTTTTACTTTTACTATAAACAAATTCAGTGCAGTGCAGTGTGTTAACCCAAGTTAAATTAAGAGGCTGCAGTGTATTGTCTCTTTAAAGGAGCAAAAAAACTTTAATAACTTCTGTAAGGGTTCAGTGAGAAGGCTGGACACTGCAGGGCAGATGTTTTCGGGGAAATTCAGGACTGGGAGGGTGTTGGGGTCACTCCGCAAAAAGTAACTGAGCAGTGGGAGCCAGGGTGTTACCGGTTGGCATCAGAACTGGGAACCCCAGCAGCATAGCATTTAATGCACCCACAGTTGCAAGGTAGGCCTCGGTTGAACCCTAAAGTGTCACAGGAATGCTCTTACAATTGGTGGATTGCTGACTTGCCTCTGGAAAGATAGGTCCCAGTGTCAGAGTCCTTACACAGGCAGGTCTCTCATTGAAGTCAATTACATTGTTCTTCCAACTGAAGTCAAACATTCCTTATTCAGATAAGATTCCCATTAAGGGAAATCATTGATGCTACCTATATAGGTAAAGAGGAAGAACTGAACAGGATAATCTGTAAGGTTGCTGTCTGTGCCATTATTTTTTTCTAGCTAACAAGTTATAAAGGTGTTACTTTTGTTTAATCTACCTTGGATGGGTATTTAGGGGAAATGTGGTTATGCAAACTAGTCACCATATGACTGATAAAGAGCTTCAAGAAGATGGATCCCTTTCAATGTAAGGTAGCTACAGGGAACTCAGCCATAACATGGCCTGCTGCTAGATTTCTTGCCTAACCTGTTGAAAAGTTACCCACTGCAGTGAGTACTGGAATCAGTGAATACTGACCATGTGTCTTATGATTAAGGTATCACCTTGTAACCCTGACTCATGTCACAGAACTGGAGCCAGGAAATAAAGGTCATTGCTCTTATCAGCATTATGGTGTCAAACACACCTTTATTATGCTGCTAGAAAGCCCAACTGAGAACTGAAGGTCCTGTTAGAATCTAGACCACACTGAAGTCACCAGGAAGCTGGAGCTGGCCTGAGAGAAGACCAGACTCACCCATAACTGAATCAGGCTGAAGCTAATTTTGAAAGAAATAGCAGACAGCTGGGTTTGCCCAGAAAGAGATACTTGGACTGAATCAGAGTCATCTTGAGAGAAGCTGGGGCCAATTAGGGTGTCTGAGTTTCTGAAGACAATTGGAGGGGCAAGGCCCATGACTCTGGGGCTGACTATCAGTGGTTACCCTGTATCTGGTGAAGTTACCAGGATTCCTATGATGATACTAAATCAATGTAACTCTTATGATTTTTGTGAGTTTTGAAATGTCTGGTGTTTTTCTTAAAGCCCGCAGATACTGCAGACGTGATTATGTGTGAACCTCAACTTTCATTTTAAACTTTAAGTTTCTAGCCCTGATGGGTGTGGAGGAAAGCTTGAAAATATGACCCAAGTGCACCTTAAAGGCTCAAAAACCAAAAGGCAAAGAAAAAGAACTTCAGTTATTTTTTTAAAAATCTCGTGATTTTGAAGCTAATCTCGAGATTTGGGAGCACTGGGTGTGGCAATAGTGCAGACTCATGTAACAGCTCCCAAAGAACCAAGGAGATAGGGAAGTGTTTCTATCCAAAATGTATATCCCTATTGTTTAAAAATGTTTATTGAATAAATGGTTTAATTTTCTAATTCAATGCTACCAAGTCAATAGTGGGGTTGTTAAAATGGCTTCGGGGCATATTTGTTCTTGTATAAGTGGTGGGTAGGTCAAGGGTGCAAGCCTATCCCACACAAATGTAGGAACTGACCCCTGATAATCTCAGTGGACTATCAAGTTTAACGACTGACTGCTTCAGAGCCACTGCCGCAGCTCAGCATCGGTGCTGCCGTGATGTGTGCTGGCATGCATTGATGTCACAGTAGAAGAATATGGCATACCAGGTACATGGAATGCTGCCAGCGTTTCAGTTTGCCTGGTATGCCGGACACACTAAGCAGCAGTGAAAATGTTAAAGACCCTTCATAGGCTAGAACTCTGTTATTGTGTAAGTGTCTGTCTTTAAGAGCTATTACACAGCACAGAGGAGCTTTGTTATGGCCAAATTACAAGTCACTAAAAGGTGTTCTCAGCGGAAACACTGACAAACACTGACCTGCAATGGGGCTGTATTTCAACTATAATAAAACCTGTGGGCCTTTTACAGCCCTCTATCCCCCTTTACGTTAAGCCTCAGCCTCCACTATTTCTAAGCCTTTGGAGCCCTAGGTATGAAGCTGTAATTATTTGAAATACTCTCCAGACTCGTTAAAACTCCAGTATTCCTTGTTTTTTATTGTTTGTTTATTTTCATGCTCCTTGAACCAGGCTTCTATACTGGTACCTTCCTAGATGCTAATAAAACATGCACAAGCACCAGGTGACTCGCAATATTTCATTTGTTCTTTGTGTGAATAGCTCAGTCCTGCTCCTGGGGAAGTCAGAAAGGATTTTGCTATTGACTTCATTCAGAGCAGGAGCAGGCCAACTGTATTTATCAGAACATCTTTGTTATGTAGAGCAGCCTGCCTGCCAGGTCAGTAAATGACCAACAGCCTCCAAACTAAATACAGGGTCTGTGTTTTTCTGGTGCGGTATTGCCTGGGATGGCTCTCTTAAGTGGTGGGGGGTACTCTCACCCTTTCCCCCCCATCCCTGGAACCAGTTGCTAACAGCAAAGTCTATACTCCTCATCTTCCCTGACAAGCCATGCCTTCTTCCTCCCTCTATCACCTTTGTCAACTTCCCTACCCTCCCTGTCAGTTTGGTTTGCAGGCTGGAGGCCATCCTCCACTTCTCTCTTTCCTTTGATCCCCTTACCTTCATGCTGCCACCACATGGTGCCCTTCTCCAAAATCCATCCATTCCTTAAGCAACAACCTTTAGCCCCACTCTAAACAATTCTCATTTGAATTACTGCAACCTTTCTTCTCTGGCATCAGTCCATCCATCTTCTCAGTCCATCCAAAGTGCAGCTGCAAATATCTTTGCTCTGACCACATCCAGTCCCTCTTTAAATCCCCTCACCTTTGCCTCAATCAGATGTAGTCTTCACATTCCAGCTTTGGCAAATATCTCCCAGCTGCCATTGTGATTTTTGTGTCATCTGATCCCCTTAGGCTTTCCCTCTCCCAGGCTTCTCAACTGTCCACGGCTGCTTGCTTTTCAAACCCTCTTAAATGGTGTGTTCTCACTTTACTGCTAGCCAGTAAGAAAACAGCAGGCGGGAAGGGGCTCGGAGAACAGTGCTCTCTTGAGGGGGGGGAGGAGCTCTCCATCTGCCTTTAACAGAGCAGGGGATGCTCTGCCCCTTCTCTTGTAATACTTCCCTGTCCCTAATGTCACTGGAGTTACAGTAGGGATGAATGTGGTCCGGTAAGTTTGAATGGCCTACCTGCATTAACAATAGCTGCTCTAGCAGCTTCATTTGAGGCAACATTCTTAGGTGTAGAAAGAAAGTCACTTTGGAGGAATGAGGTTGAATCCCATTGTAGCATTTGAATTCAAATAGAAGGGAGATGAAGTAGGACTGAACAAAGGAACAACCCAGAGATGGAACCTGAGACTGTACTGTGCCACACTGACAGCTTAAAGAACAGGAGTACTTGTGGCACCTTAGAGACTAACAAATTTATTAGAGCATAAGCTTTCGTGGACTACAGCCCACTTCTTCGGATGCATATAGAATGGAACATATATTGAGGAGATATATATATACACACATACAGAGAGCATGAACAGGTGGGAGTTGTCTTCATGCTCTCTGTATGTGTGTATATATATCTCCTCAATATATGTTCCATTCTATATGCATCCGAAGAAGTGGGCTGTAGTCCACGAAAGCTTATGCTCTAATAAATTTGTTAGTCTCTAAGGTGCCACAAGTCCTCCTGTTCTTCTTTCTGTTTCTATGTGACATTGACTTCGCTTATGCATAATATGCGTTTCTTTCTTTACTAATCACTTCCTTATGTG